AGTCAGAGAAGCTGTGTCTAGGAATGCTAACCTCAGTCACAAGGCTATATTCCACAAGATAAAGGGGACTTTTACTACATACGGGCCTTATTTGGGGGGTTAGTGCCAGAAGCTTACAGGCCATAATGGACCAAACCAATCATATAGAGGCCATGTGGCATGAGAGCCACTTGAACAAGTACCACAAGCTCACTAAGGTCTGGTACCTGTGCAGTGATGACCTACTGGGATATATATTGCAGAAGTACCAGCAGGGCTTGTCTACTGTTAGAAAGTGGTTAGATTTGCACATGTGCCAAAAAATTACCAAGTTACAGGGACTGCTGAGGGAAGCTTTCAGAAAGGACTTAGAGCAGGGTGACTGCCACATAGCTCTAGCCTTCCTATCATGCTATCCTTGTTTAAAATTGGCTTTACAGCACAAGTTCTGTCTTTTTTCGGTGTAGATAACCAATATTGTTGATGCCTCCCACCACAGGCACACTTTAGGCAGGCACAGCACCACATCTACTCACTAGTCATCTCACGAACACACACGTTCAGGGAAGTCAGATTCCACAGCTCACACTCAAGTCTATTTGCCACCACCCTGATCTTCTAGCACCCTCCAAAATGGACGAGTGGTCTCCTTCCATGAGGAGATACTGTACGGCACGAGGACGGAGGCTCCTGGACACGCGGACTCTCCCCTCCCGTGGCACAGTTGCAAACAGGCCTGCCTTCCCCTTGCAGAAGCAGATAAAAATGGCTGTTTTCAGATAGTCTAGGAAGATCAGGACTCTAAATGGAGACACTTTCCCTGGTGCTTAGCTTCCTTATGCCAGTGCCTTGCCAGGTACCCAGTGAGAGCAAAGGAGGTCTCCTGTCTTCTACCAGATCTTCATGATTGCTTCGAGCCCTGCCTCAATTTATTAGTCATTCATCAGTTTCCTACCAGCAGGAAAATGTTAACTGTACATAATAGGAAGTTTGCTTTGGGTGAAAACCTCTTTTCCTTAAAAATGATTTCTGTGGAAGGCTTTAGGTGTTCTAAATCTACAATCTTCTTGCCCTGCAGAAGACTAGGAAGTCAGTGGTAACAGCCTTTATTTCTTAGATGCCTGGTAAATTCAAGTTTCTGCAGCTCTTCTACATAGAGGCTCTAAACTGCATGTTTTTCTGTCACTACACAACAATTATTTTATACAAAAGTAACTGAGGAAAAATTATTTCTGCTTAGTGTAGAATGCAAGTATCATGGTTGCGCTCCCAGACTGCCATCTGTGGCAGCAGAACGGGTCTAGCAGCTCAGGTCTTCCCCTCAGTCTACGCTCTACACCAGACCATGTCTCCGAGATAAAGATACCTCGGAGATGACCAGTCACTCTTTTAGCTCCTTGTCATTCAAGGCCTTTGTAGCCAGTCTCTGGCTTCAGCCAGGAACAAATGAATGCTGTGAAGTTCCTGGTTTCTTGTGATTTTTGAAAAATACTTACCTTTTCAGTAGTTACTGGTTTACAGGAAAATGTGTGGATACACACACAAGAAAGAAAAATGTGTGGAAAGCAGAAAGGTTCCCTAACTACCGCTTTACCTTTCCCCCATATATACTATTTCCCTTATGATTAATCTCCTGTACTACTGTAATATATTTGTTAGATTTAATGAACACACCCCTGCAATCTTAGCACCCCAGAGGCTGAGGCAGGACTGCCTCAAGCTCAAGGCCAGCCTAGGTACAGAGTAAGTTCAAAGCCAGCCTGAAATACAAGACCTTGTCTCAAAACAACAAAAATCTATTATCAATTCTATTGGCTTCTTCCTGGACATGGTGGTACAGACCTATAATCTCAGCATTTGAGATGCTGAGATAAGATCTGGGCTATAGTGAGCTCAAGCCCAGTCTGAACTACACAATGAGATGGGTTCTCTCAAAAAAAAAAAAAAAGGAAAAAATGATTGGCTCCTTATATACAGTGTTTACTGGGCTCATAGTTCTCAACCATGGGTGGTAGGTGACAACGTATGGAAACACTATTGTCAAAAGTGGACGAAAGAGATGGGCATATGCACTCAACGACCAACACCAGCACCATGAATGCTTTTAAGCATGACAGGACACACAGGACAGCAGGCCACTACAAAGAATTACCTGCTTCGAATGTCCTTAGTGCCAAGGTTGAGAAACTTTGTTCTTAGGTGTAAAATACATGTCTTCAGCTTACAAAACTTCATCTGTACTATAAAAAAGAAACAAAATTGGCGGTATACTTTGTCGTATAATTTACTTCAAATTTACAATTCATTAAAATTTTTGCTTAATGAAGTATATTAGTTTTAAAAATCATTTCACTCTTTTGTCTAAACTTTTTTTTTTTTTTGGTAAATCGAATTTCTGATGTTTTTCTGCCTATTTATTTCTAGATCTGGCCATTGTGCTGTCTGAAATAGGATTTACTTAAAACATTACCAAGTTAAAAAAAATGTTTGCGGGGGCTGGGGATTTAGCTCAGCAGCATGGTGCCTTCCTGGTAAGTGCAAGGTTGTGAGTTCGATTTCTGGTACCAGAAAAAAAACCAAAAAAAAAATGTTTTTTTCACTACTTTCAAATAATCTTGGTATTCTGGAAGAAATATATATCACCTACTTCCTACACTGCCTTAGGACTTTTGGCCATGTGTTTTTAGCAATTTGATTCTGAATACTATGTGACATGAGCATTTTGGATGTATCTCATATTCATTTTTTCAGTATTAAATTTTGTGCACTACTCCTAATATCCTGTATATGTATATTCCTACAAATCACTGAATTGTTTTATTTTAGATAATATCTACAGTTACACCATTAAATTCACTGACAATTTCTTCCAGTTTAATGTAGTGTTCATGCCACATGGTGTCTGAAGTACATTTATCTCTTTCATTTAGGTCTATTTTTATATCTATTTTACTCTCAGATCTCTGAAACTTTATATACAGTAATGACATTTAGTGTAATGGTCTAGTCTAACCTTACCATGTTTGTAAATGTATTTTTGCTAATATGTTTTTATGTCTTTGTATGCACAGCAAGTATCATCAGATGGTGTAATTTATATTGCATATTGCATTTGTTTGTGTCCCTTCAGTGTTGGACTTTGTTATGGCATTCAGTAACGTTACTTGGCAGTTTTTCCTTCCAAGGCTTGCTTTTAAACTTTCAACGTGAGACCAGAAAAGCTTTTAGTCTATGTCTGATTAGTCTCACTACTGAGGTCATAGCATTCTAAACTATTTTCTTATTTACTCATGTTTCTATGCAGAAGGGTTAAAATAAACATTGTTTTGAGTAAACTTAAGGAATATTTGTATACAGCTTTGTAGTGTTTCTACCCAAACCCTCAGTTTCAGGACTATGCATCTCAGGATTCAAAAAGTTTAAAATGATCTTTCTCAAAGAAAAAAATCTTACGTCAAACCTCTGCCTTGCTTTTCTCCCATACTGTGCCACCCAGATTCCTGTCACACTGGATTCAGTGTACCCTTAGTCCCTGTAAGTGAATACAGTCATAGAGCTTACCTCCTATGTCTGCTGAGATCTTAGTCCTGACACTGCCTATTTGCCGTGAAAACTGATTTGTATTTGTCATATTAGGTGTGATAAAGAAAAAAAATTGTGGTGGCACACACATGTAATCCCAGCACTCAGGAGGCTGAGGCAGGAGGATTATTCCAAGTTTAAGACCAGCCTGGGCTACAAAGTGAGCTCTAGGCCAGCCTGAACTGCATAGTGAGACCCTGTCTCAAAAAAGACAAAAAATAATTATGAACGCTTAAATTTTTGAAAAGTTATTACAAAAGACACACTGCCATTAAACTCCCTCAAAATCCTGCCTCACCTAACCTAACCTCCCAACAGCCTCACCTCCAAATGCTATCACACTGGGCAGTGAGGCTTCAGTGTAAGAATTTGGGTTGCGGGAGACACAAACATTCTGATAGCAGATTAAATAAGTTGCCATTTACTTTGTAGATTTGTATTTTAGGTACTGAAGATTAAACACAGGGCTTTCGTTCTAAGCAACATCCTCAGCCCCTTTTTTCATTTTGGTACAACTCTAGGGCAAAACATTTCACAATTCCCAGTTTTTTAAAAAAGCTTTCTCCTTTACAGACAACATGAGGGTCTGTGGAGAAAATCCCATGCAATCTGCAAACAAAGCAACAACAAAAAATACTAGTTTCCAGGGTAGGAAATCAATATATAAGATGTAATCATACTTCTCTATATTGGCAAAGAACTAGAAATTGATAACTTCATAAAGAAAATTCTTTATAAGAGCATCACTCATGAGATTAAAGATTGATATACATACCAAATGTTGAGGGCACTGAGTTGGAATCAGATAATGCTAATAAAAATTTACCACGGTACAACCACTTTGGAAATTGATCAGTCTGTAGAATGATAACCGCTCACCTCCTTTTAATCAGGCATTGTACTTCTAGGTATTAACTAGCACAAAACTAATTACAACTTTGTTATAACCCTCTACTGGAACCAATCCAAAGGTCCATTAACAGATGTACAGAATAACATGTTATAACATATCCATACAAAAAAAATACTATTCAGTAAAAGAGAACACAAAAACTCATACATGCAACATGGATGAATTTCCAAATGATGAATGAAAAAAGGAGTACGCTGGGCATGGTGGCGCATGTCAATCCCAGCATTCAGGAGGCTGAGGCAGAAGGATTGCTGCTAGTTCAAGGCCAGCCTAGGCTACCCAGTGAGTTCAGGGCCAGTCTGAACTGCATAGTGAAACCCTGTCTCCAAAAGAAAAAAATAAAATAAACATTTTATGATGGCATTTATATAAAATCTCAGAAAAAGCAAGTTAGTTTACCACTGGTTGTGGAGAGGAGGAGCCAGGGAAGATGGGAATTCTGTATGTATACAAGGTAACTTTGTAGGTGATGGACATATTATACTTATGGTGGCTTCATGGGTTTTTACATATGTTCAGTTTTTTTTGTGTCTCTATTTTATATCAATTATAGCTCAATAGGGGCTGGGGATTTAGCTCAGCGGCACAGTGCCTGCCTGGCAAGCGTGAGGGCGTGAGTTCGATTCCCGGTACCAGAAAAAAAAAATTATAGCTTAATAAACCATCAAAAAAATGCTTCCATGTAAAAATGTAGATCTACGCCTCTTGAAAAACCAGACTGGGCAAACATATTGACTGTATTATAATTCTCTTTTATCCTTTAGGAAGACTATCAGTGAAGGGTATTTCTACATGAGACACAGAAGTCTTTTATTTCGACTATAGTATTTCTTCTCTGGCTCCCCTTTCTGCCAGTGCAGCATTGGCCTTGAAGTGAACAGCTCAAGCAGGCTATGGGAATCCAGAAAAACTGTCCAGATTATTTGCTCTGCCGGTCACCATGGCCATAGGTATGTAATACATAAGTCCAATGGTCCTGAGTATATCTGCATACCCTCATCTCTCAGGGCTATGGTGACTGGACTAGAATATTTATGGAAGCACCTTTACGTGGAGTAAAACCTTGGAACTTTCTATAGTGACCCCCAACTGTTATTCATATACACTCTTTCAGTTCCAACTATAATTATGCTTAAACAATTTGTGATTTGCATCCAGGGAATACGATAAAGGCCACCGAAGAGTGTGCTCACTGAGCATATTGGGGTTATAGCATTCATATTTGCCAAGTGGCAGAGGTGAGGAGCCTTCAACCAAAAGTATTGGCATTGATATAACCAGGGCCTTAGATGGGATCAGAATGTGCAATGCAGTCCTGAGAATGTTCCGCACAATTATAGGGAATCTTCAGTACGGAGTCCAGATCTGAGACTTAACATTTGGCTGAGGGTTTCTCAGCGTGTTTCTCCAATTGTCTGTCCCTACACTGAATAAACAAGACAGCACATCTTCTCTACTCTGAGACCCTTTCCAGTGGGAAATGAGTAGAAGTCACTGACTGATACTTTTTCAGTGACTGCACTTTCCTCCTATGCACTGACTTCTCCAATGTTTAATGAAGCTACACTTGGGCCTAAATAATTTTTCACATTTTTTAGAAATGAGAAGTCCACTTTTCAGTATGGACTCTGGTCCTAAAGAAATATGGATTAAGGCTAGATGCTTTCCTACATTTCTTGTACTAATAAAGCCTTGCCCTGATGTGAACTCTGTTGTAAAATGAAGTGGGAGCCTTGGCTAAAAAATTATTCACATTCAATCCACTCTTCTAGCAGATGTGAACTCTCTGATGTACAATAAAGCTAGAGCTTCGGCAAAACAGTTTCACATGTTCAGTGTACTCATAAATCCTTTTCCCGGTGTGCATTCTCTGGTGCCCAACAAGTATGATTTTACAGGTAAAGAATGTTCTAGAGTTGCTACGTTCATAAAATTTTGCATTAGTGTGAACCCTCTGGTACTAAACACGTTTGAAGGTTTATATAAAAAATTTTGTACATCTGTTGCACAATCTCTGTAATGTGAATTTTCTGGTGCTGCATCAGATTGTATATGAACGCTTCTGCCATGTTCACAACGCTCAAGTCCTTTCTCCAGTGTAGAAGTATGTGTTGGCTGCTGTAGGTTTTCCCACATAGACTGCATGCATAAGGAAGGCCTTACTCCAGTGTTGTGTTTTATAACAAACTAGGATGGTGCTTTTGCTATAGGCTTTCTCACACTTTGTTAGATTCAGGTGGCCTTTATCCAATGTGAAATTTCTTGTGCTGAACAAGGTGGGATCTCCTGCTATAGTTTTTACCACATTCATTACACTGATAAGGCCTTGTTCCTCTGTGAATTCTCCGGTGTACAAAGAGTCCAGAGCTTTGTTTGAAGAACTTCCCACATATGCTGCACTCATAAGGCCTTTCTTCACTGTGGATTCTCTGATGTTGAACAAGTCCATCTTTACGGCTGAAAGCTTTCCCACATTCACTGCATTCGTAAGGTTTTGCTCCAGTGTGAACTCGCTGGTGTAAATTGAGACTTGATCTATGGCTAAAACATTTCCCACATTCAGTGCACCCATACGGCTTTTCACCAGTGTGAACTCTCTGGTGTGAAATAAGGCTGGAGCTTTCTCTAAAGAACTTCCCACATTCGCTGCACTCGTAAGGCTTTTCTCCAGTGTGGATTCTCTGGTGCCGAACAAGTATCACTCTGCTTCTAAAGAACTTCCCACACTCACTACACTCATAAGGCTTTTCTCCAGTGTGGATTCTCTGGTGCCGAACAAGTTTGTTTTTTATTCTGAAGGCTTTCCCACATTCACTGCACGCGTAAGGCTTTTCTCCAGTGTGAACTCTCATGTGTGCAGTAAGGTAAGAGCTCTGAATAAACGATTTCCCACATTCACTGCATTCATAAGGCTTTTCACCTGTGTGGAGTTTATGGTGTCGAACCAGTGTTACCTTACTTCTAAAGAATTTCCCACATTCATTGCACTGATAAGGTTTTGCTTCAGTATGAACTCTCTGGTGTTCAATAAAGACAGAACTCTGTCTAAAGAATTTCCCACATTTGGTACACTGAAAAGGCCTTTCTCCAGTGTGGATTCTCTGATGCTGAACAAGCCTGGATTTGCATCTGAAGGCTTTCCCACATTCACCACACTGATAAGGCTTTATAGCAGACTGAACCCACTGGTGTAAGATGAGATTGGAGCTTTGGCTAAAGAACTTCCCATGTTCATCATACTCACATGGCTTTTCACCAGTATGAATTCCTGGATGTGCAATAAGGACAGGGTCTGGTCTAAGGATGTTCTCACTTTCAGTCATTTCTTCTCTGTGGATTCTCTGGTGCCAAACAAGAGCGATTTTGTGGCTGAAGAGTTTCCCACATTCATCGCACTCATAAAGTCTGTCCTTAGTTTGAAAGGCTGTGCTGTAGCTAGTGCTTGTGTGTGGATTTCCTTCGTTACCCCTGGTCTGGTGCTGCAGATGGCTTGAACTGCTCAGGGGATCCTCTTCATCATCTATGCACATAAAGGAACTCACTGAGGTGTGTGCTCTAGAGCTATTAACAAACACAGCCTTCTCGCACCTCCTGACATCTTTCTCTTCAATGTGCTCGTCCTGAACGTGCTGCTGAAGGACGTCTGTAAAGAACCACAGTTGTCTTCCACAGGCCTCACATGTGTGCAGCTTCTGCCCAGGTTGTATTTCCTGATGCTCACCCAGAAACAAAATGTCCTTCACCACTGGGCCACACACCTCACAAGGGTAGACTTTCTGGGTGGCAGTATCTGCATTCAGAGCCCTGACTTGTGACCCTCCTTGAGAAGATGCCTCCTCAACTTCCATTGGAAACCAACAACCTGAAAGCAGAAAATGTGACTGATATATATGGAGATTGCAATGTGTGTGAAAGGGGTGACGCCGTCACAAACATGTCTTACACAACCAAGAATGAATACAAAAGATTCTTGGGAGACTATGGGAGCTGAAGCCAGCAAGAGAAAGTCCTGCTATACTGAGGGCAGCAATGTCATACTGTGAGGTCTGGGGAAAAGGAAGGCCACAAGAGTGGGAAGCTGCACAGAAAGAGTGGCTGTGCCTCTCATTCATATCTGTTTTGAAATGTGTACATCTGATGGAGACCACTATGAAGCAGCTCTGAGCAGGACTTACATTATCTAATTGGCTTTTCATGTTTACATGTGAGGTTGCCCGAGGCCTAGGCCCTTGTCTGGAGATGGGCAGTGGACTCACAGTAAGTGAACCTCTAAGAGTCACTGGTCCCCACTGAGGCCTCTGTTGGCCTGTGAAGTTGGGACACCTCAAAGGACAAAATAAGGCCACAGCGAAGGACGTTTGGCTCCAACCCCAATTAACTAGAAGGAGACTGTAGCTGAAGATTTCTCACTCCTGCGGTGAAGGCCTTCCTGGACATAACACAGTTCTCCTAAATTAACATAATGATTACCTGGAGAAGTCCTTAGAGGGATTCCCAAGTCCTGCCCAGATTCCTGCATTTTCTTCAGTATTTCCCTTGCTTGTTTTAAAACCTAGTAAGTACAAGCAGCCCAGAGAAGTTCTTTGTCTTAGCCCCAGAATTCTGACTGAGGGTTTGGAACCTCCCAGAGCCCTGAAATAATTTCATTTGTCTCATTTATTTAAGCCTTTACCATCCACTCATTTGGGAGATTGCAGGTCTGATCAGTCTGCAATTACTAAGGGATATTATTAACATGATACGCATCTCATAGCACGTTATATGCAGCTTAGTGGTGGAGACCACTGCGGAGGGAATGGTGGAGAATGATGGACGCAGCCTGAAAGCCAGAAAGGTGTGAACAGCAAGGGTCAGAAGTCACTGGAGGAATGACAATGGGGAAAAGTGTTAAGAATGGGACTGAATGGATGAAATGAGTCACGGCACCACCCTTGGTACGAAAATAGTAATGGGGAAAAAAAAAAAAAGTAATAGGCACTGAAGAGGTACCTGGTACCATTAGAACTCACTTTTAATATCAAGGCATCATTCTCTTCTGACTTACCAGAGCCAGTACCCCTGGAGATGGCTGGAGTTAAGTCAGCTGTGTCAGGTACCCAGGTCTGTTCCCCCACCTCCAGATTAACAACATGAATCCGAGAAGATATAAGTCCTAAGCGAAAGACATGGCAAATAAGGAAACAACAGCAGTGCATGGTACCCCCATCACCCCACTGACCACAGTAAATAAATACAAAAAGAACTGCAGAGGAACATCTTGTAAGAAAAAGACTAATGATGTCAAAACTAGTGACCACAGTGGTACACTTGCAATTCCTTGCATCAAGTAACAGGAAATGTCTGGAGGAAAGTGGGAAGAGAGAGGTATGATTCTAGACAGTGACTCTCCAGATGAGGCCATACTAGGTAAGAGCCATCGGATTCATGGCAAGACTCCTGTCACCATATCTTTTCTTGCAAGGTTTCCAGCCCTAGGTGATAGGGTGGCCTAGGGAGAGAATAGAGTATTTGGCTGAGCTGGGGAACACCCAGCACCTACCCCCAAAACACTAAAGGAAGCAGGGTCTATAGCGGGCTGTGAGAAGAAGCAAACAGCAGCCCCAGATGTAAAAGGGAAGGAAAGAACCAGGCCGGAATGGTAGAAAGTGAGAAGAACTTACCAAGTGAGGCCACAAGGGCAATGTTCTCGAGCATCACATCCAAGTACAGGAGTCTCTGTGTCTCATCAAGAAGCTTCCACTCTTCCCAGGAAAAGTCCACAGCCACATCCCCAAAGGTCACACTGCCCTACAGGACAGGGAGAGCAAGGTCCCTGAGCAGCCTCTTTGCTTAGGAACATCAGTCTAAACTCTTGCTTCCCCTTCTCCCAGTTCACTGCATAGATATTAAGGCTGGATGCCACTACTGCTTGCTCCCTCTCTCTCTCTCTCTCTCTCCTCATACTTCCACTGATCACTGTGTCACCCACATCCATTAAGACAGGTGTGGAGATAAATGCCATGAAGCTTTGAGCTTCACAGGAAGGGCCCAGCCCCTTTCCTCACAGTAAATTCCCTTGGGTTCCAAATTTATACCTCTCTGTACAAACACAGGTTCAGTTTTCTCCCTAGAGCTCCTAGGGCCAAGTACCTCGGACCACCATTTCACGTTGTCTGTCTCTGTACACCATCCCATCCTCACATTTCTTACCTTCTACTGCCACTGCCAGCCCCACTGCTCCCTGTAGGCACCTTCTCACCATTCTACTTTCCAGTCTGCACATGGTATCCGGAGGGCGCTTGGGACTTGCAACCATGACTCTATGCTTCCACAGACCTCTGATGACTCAGTCCCACAGGAAGCACGGAGCCCTGCTTCAAAGACCTCCCTACCTTGCCCTACTCCTTACTTCATCCTCATCTCTAAGAATCATGAGCAGGTAGCAGATATCTTAAATTCTCACCCACCCATCTCAACCATCCCCTTTCCATCAAAGTCCTATTCAATGCCTGGCTCCACTTATCCCCTGCCGTTCACTGACTATCTCCCGTTTAACCATAAATGTTATCCACAAGCCTGAGTAAAGCTCTCCAGGCTCTGACACAGGTCACCACAAAAGTCTGGTGAACCTTTGAAGGATAAAATAACCACAGGCCCTGGTCTCACAGTGAATTCACTTCCATAACTGCTGCGTTTCAACAACCATCTCATGACATTCTCCCTTGGAAGCCTTTGCTTCCATCACACCCTGCTCCTGCCCGCCTACTCTCTCTCAGTGTAGACTATAATGCTTACTAACTCCATTTAGGAGCCCAAAAAAGGGACTCAGTCTTTCAGCTCTAACCTCACATTACATGGCTGTTATGGCTTGACTATTAAATGTCCTCAAAAGTTAAAGCATTGAGCCGGGCGTGGTGGCGCATGCCTCTAATCCCAGCACTTGGGAGGCTGAGGCAGGAGGATCGTTGTGAGTTTGAGACCAGCCTGGGCTACAAAGTGAGCTCAAGACAAGCCTGAACTGCACAGCGAGACCCTGTCTCAAAATGATAAAAAAAAAAAAAAAAGTTAATGCATTGAAACTTGGGTCTCCAGCTGATGGCACTACTGGGAGATGATGGATCCTTTAGAACATGGGGCGTAAGTGAAGGAAATTGGGTCACTGGGGACATGCCTTGAATATTAAGATGTATATTAAGATGTTGGTGTTGTGCTCGCTTCGGCAGCACATATACTAAGATGTTGGTGTTTTCTTCTCTTCAATTTCTGGCTGCCATTAAGTGAGCAACTTTGCTCCATGATACACTCCCCACCATGATGCCCTGCCTTACCACAGCCCAAAGCAATGAGGTCGAACTGCCACAGACTAAAACTTTCCAAAACCGTGAGCCAAAATAAACCTTTCTTCCTTTGAAGCTCTTTTATCAGGTATTTTCTCACTGTGACAAAAAGCTACTTACACAGTGCCCATTAGTGGTTTTGCCACCACCACCTGAAGATTCCCCCTCCTAAATATATTCAGTGACTCACAGCCTACCTTGGTCTACATATCTTATTATGTCTGCATCTGAACATCCTAAACTCCAGACCTGTTTGTTGTTGAGCTATCCACTCAGCACCTCTACTTGAAAGTCTCTCGAAGAGCCAGGCATGGTGGCACACACCTGTAATCCCAGCACTCGGGAGGCTGAGGCAGGAGGATCGTTGCAAGTTTGAGATCAGCCTGGCCTACAAAGTGAGCTCAAGGCCAGCCTCAACTGCATAGCGTGACCCTGTCTCAAAAAGACAAAAAAGAAAAAAAGGAAAAAAAAAAAGTCTCTGGAACATCTGACTGAACCTGTCCAAAACCTAATTCCTCATATTCTCTCTGAAATTCATTCCACAACTGACTCCCTCCTTTGGTTAATATCATATTATCTCTGACTCTTCCTCACATCAGAAAGTACAGCCAGAAAAACAAATCCTGAAGTCATAAGATTCTCTACCTCCACAGTTATCACTCCTGCTTGGCCAAAATCAATACTCATCCAGACTATTGTAGTAACCTCTTCCATTGCCCCTGATATCTATATTCTACTTTGCAGCCAAGGGAAATCTGCTAATCCTTGATTCAGGTTACCTCCATTCTCTATTCCAAATGTTTTCTGACAGCCAGGCATGCTGGCACATACAGTAATCTCAGCACTCAGGAGGTTGAACAACAGGATCGCCATGAGTTCAATGCCAGCCTGGGCTACATACTGACTCTGTCTTACAAAACCAAACCAAACCAAACCAAAAATGTTACTTGGCTCATAACCAGCAGAAAAGCGACACATTTGCTCATCCTGCTGTTTTGGACCTTCAACCCTATGCTCTGTTCCCAAACATAATGGAGAACTTCAGTTCCCGAACATTGCCAGCTGTTTTACCTTTACATACCTGCAGGTACTGCCCCCCACCCCCGTGCTTATAATACCATCTGCACAGCATTCTACATGTTGCCAGAAATGATGACTTCTCCATATAACCCTCAGCCTAGACTTGAGTCCCTCAGTCTGAGGGACCCTAGACCTCATGGCCAAGGGCTTAGCCAGCACACAGTTTTGGGACACTGTAATTCAAGACCATACATATGGTTGGGAGATAAGGAGGCCATGGGTCTGAGACACCTTCTACTCACCTGTGCGTGGTGAGTAAGCACTTCTGCACCCATAGGTACCTGTGAAAAGAATAAAACTGTGGGCAACGGGCATCCATGGTGGGGTCTTGAGGGCTCATCCAACCCCTCATCCCTGCTCTGAAGCAAGGTGACCCTTCAGGTGACTGTCCAACTTACGGGCCTCACTCATTACAGCGGCCTTTTATCAGGTGTTTGATGGTGGATTCAACTTCCCTATGCCTCAATGTTTTCTGTTAGATGCGGACAGTAACAGAATCAACTTCCTAGCACTGATGTTGGTATCAAACATATTAGTACAGGGCCGGGGATATAGCTCAGTGGCATAAGTGCCTGCATGGCAACCACAAGGTCATGAGTTTGATCCCCGGTACCACAAAAAAAAAAAAAAAAAAACATATTAGTACGTATCAAGTGCTAAGTATATGCTATCTCTATCTACACAACTAATCTTTTCCTGTTAAACTATAACCACATTCATGTTATGAACAAATCTCTGAAAATCAAACAGTTTGGTAATATCAAGTAAAGTTAAAAACATATAAAAATAAGTACTATGTAGTTATGAGTTATAGTCACATATGATTAACAAACAATAGAAAGTAAACCAAGGAAAACACAGAATTTAGAATGGATGATTACTTTTACACAGGAAGAAGGACGACCTGAATTTTCAATACTGATAGTCCTATTTCTCATGGTGGGTATGGAGTTCAAGGTTGTTTGTCTTATCGTTATTCTTTATATTTCACCTGTACATTATAAATATAATCTGGTATTGAACGAATCCAACCACTGCCATCCTACTCTAAGCAGAGACTACTTTAAATCCCTTCCTCCTGCTATGCTTTTATACCTGATACAGATGCATCATCACAGGTCAGTAAAAGCCCATAAGCACAGCTCCACCCTGTAACTCCCAATCACTGTCCAGCTCTGCTCTTGACAAACAACATGCAACTCCCTGTACATCCTTAAGTCCGGTCCCAGGCGGATAGGTACAGCTCCTTTGTACTGAACTCTGACCCTGAAAGCCCCATTGTGACATTTCCCTTCCACAGCTCCTCTTTTTTATGCTCATTACCCTATAAAGACCTTATAGCCTGTACAAGAGTTGCTGATCTGCTCTCTAGTGGCAGAGCAGTCCCTCTCAGGTTTGTTCTGAAATGAACCTACCTGTTGAGCTCATACAGTTGCTTCTTTTCCTTTTTGTCCTAACAGGTGTGATTTCAATATAAATTAAAATAATCTCAAAAAAGAACTCTCTCAGATGATAATTAATCATCACCGTATGTTTTTGTGTGTGTGATTTTAATTTAGGTATTTTAGTTGCCAAATTTTTGTTAACTACCAATATGCATACATGTGGAATATTAATTTCTTACTGTTAAAAATCTCCACTAAACTTAGGTCTCGTCTTCCTGTAAGTCCCTGCTTCCCTTAGAGAATTTACTGAAGGAAATTGCAATTGTAAATTCTAGGTCTTGAAATGTATTTAAATCTCCCAGCCTCTGGCCAGTTTTACAACTCATTAAGTAAGTTTCTCAGTGAGCTGGGAACCATTGCTTCCAAACACAAATATGGAAGGAGACAGCAACCCTGCCTCCCAGTCTCTGTGGGTGAGCGGAAGTCTATCTTCAGTGGACATCAATTAGCAAACACTTATGGCTTAGACAGGGAAAAACACCTACAAATTTAGGAATAACTTCATGTGTTTCACAGATCCTACTGGTCTACCGCCCCATCTAATCTACTACAGTACTTTCCTACTAACCAACCACAGTGATTAAAAACCTTCCCACCTTTGTTTCAAAAATGTTCAGCTTAGTACCTCTCCTACTGCCAAATTCTCCAAGTCTTCTTTGCCTCTTCCTACTTATTCCAGTAAAAGCTTTTACTTTGGCTCTCTTCTACTGATAGATACCATTACAGGGACAAACTCCTGGGCCTGTTGCTCATTAAAAGCACTGTGTGAGAAAACCTGCCCTGAAACCCAGTGTTCCCTCCAAACAGGCTTCATGACCTCTAAGGAGGTGTCTCCATATATCAAGCAGATCCTAAAGACTTTAGGATCAAAGAACAGCCTCTAAGCTGCTCTTTTAAATCCTCCTCTATCCTTCCCTCGCCTCTCACTCTCAAATCCTAAAGGCGTAAGTTTAGTTTCCCTAATGCCACAGCTTCCCATTTTAGGGTGGCTGGGGGGATCCCCTGGGCAGTTCATATTCAAGTGGCTATTCAGCAATACGTGATGTTATCCTTGGGACCTGGAAGAACCTCACACCAAGAAGGAGCCCACTGGCTTTTCATTTTTTTTCTCCTCTTCCCTAAAACTCACTTCCCTTCTTCCTCTTCAGGGGCTTTCATCTTCAATGCTAATTTGTACAGGGAAATGAAAGCAAGCAGAGCAGTGGTAGTACTTAAAACAAGGGTCAAAGAGATGTTCTTACTTTTTTAATCTGTAAATCCGAAAAATCTCTTTTTCCCTTTGCCACTTTATTGAAAGCATAGATGTAGTCCTCAAGAGAGGAGCACAGAGTGAGGGAACTGCCCTGCAAATAAACCTAAAACACTCCTAACATGGATCCTGCCTATAGGAAAGGGCCCCCTCTGCTGAGGTCCCAGCTAAGCTACCCAGTCACAGGAGAGGGCTGCTCAGAGCTCCTGTTATGTATGGTTTGTGTCTAGATATTCCCCCAAAGCCTCATGCAGTTATAGAGGGTAGGCTAGTGCTGGAATTGGCGAAGTGAGTGTTACACTTGCCCTAGGGCAAACAGCCTGCATACAATATACGGGAATGAAAAAAGATTTGCTCCTCTCTTGCTCTTGTTATTTTGCTGTCTTCCACAGCAGAACTTGCCCCTCTGCCATGCCACCCTGCCTTGGAGCCAGCTGATTATGAACTGAAACCTCTACAAACTGTGAGCCAAATAAACCTTTCCTCCTTTAATTTTGGGTGTTGGGTATTTTGTCTCAGCAATGAGAGAAAAGTAACTAAGATAGGTCCCAACAGTAACATGCGATCAGACTGGTAGGAGAGGAGGCTGTGCTCCTGTGTGTTCCACAGGTGCGTAGATGCTATGAGTAGAGAAAGGTGGATCCTGCCCGGATCACTGGGTTGCCATCTACAGCACTGGCCATAGTGCACCTGTTTCCCTTCTCCTCCTACCCAGCAGCTACAAGCCTTCAAAGAAGAACACTCGCCTGCCACCAGGCCGTACCCCAGAGATGCACCCTAGAGACAGATGTGTGCTGCCACAACCTCCAACCTCCCCCAGAACAGCTCATTTTCAACCAGCCTGGGCTGTCCACAGCATACCTGCCACCATTTCCTGGAACCATCTGCTCTACATCTGCCACACCCCACAGTGCTCTGAGGCCTCCACAGGTTACATCTTTAGTGGTGGCTATCTCCCTCCCTCCACCTTCTTTCTTCTTCTCTTATTCTTTTATCTCGGCCCCTAGTTTATTTTCCTATCTAAACTAGTTTATACTTTTTAGTTACTGTAGACAGGGGCATCTCCAGACTTTTTAACCCCTCACAAGTTCTTTACATATGTGCACGAGTGTCCCTGGGGTGCCTTACCGAGGAAAACCCAACCCTTTGACTTTGTTCTTACCTTTTATCTTACTGTGAAAGACACCAATGCATTTGTACACTTCACAGGGATTCTAGAAATGCCTCGAAATAGCTACCTACCAGGGGTGAAGATACTTGTTTTCCTCTGGGTATAACAGCAATGGGACTAACGGGGGCTATGAATTCCTGGGAAAAACTGGTTTGAGCTATATCCTTGACCCTGAGAAAAACTGCAGCAAGCACCACTGCTTGATCCCAGAGAAAGCCTAAAAGAATCCAGTGTTTCCTTCTTCACCTCTTTTCTAAAGCCAGATCTTTATTTATTTATTTTGGAGACAGGGTCTCACTCTATAGATCAGGGTCGCCTTGATCTCACTCTGTAGCCCAGACTCATGGCACTCTTGCCTCAGCCTCCTGAGGGCTGGGATCACAAGTGTGCACCACCTGCCCAGCAGCCAGATCTTAAAAGACTCATACATCTTAAAAGATTATGAGTAATTCAACATCTACTTCCAAACGTCAATTCCAGGCTGTATTTCACAAAACTGGAACTCTTTAAGAAAAAAGTTGCTGGGCATCGTGGCGCCTGCCTGTAATCCCAGCACTCAGGAGGCTGAGGCAGGAGGATCGTTGCGAGTTCCAGACCAGCCTGGGCTACAAAGTGAGCTCAAGGCCAGCCTGAACTACATAGTGAGACCCTGTCTCAAAGA